ATAAACAGTGACACTGAAACGTGGTTGAGTAAAGGTAGGTTTCAACATAGTGCCATTATCACTTTGCACACAGATTGCTTCACCTCCACTGCCTTGTGCTAATAATAATAATGTAGGAATTACACCTGTAAGTCCTTCGCCTAAAAATACTGCAGTTAAATATCGAACACGATATCGTTTTATATAATCGAAGAAGACAAGAGATGATGTACTGTCAAGCATGCATAAAGTGAAAACACATCCAATCAACCATAAACTTCGTTCACTACCAAATAAATAGGTAGTTTTATTCCAGAAGAAAGCCAATATAAAACATGAAACAATACCAATAATTATAACCATATAAATATAAGGAATTTCAGAAAAACGTTTTCCTTGATACAAACGTAAAAATGTGACTATAGCAGGCATTATATTGGCCGCACAAAGACATAAACCTACTATTGATGGAATTCTCCAACCTTCAGGTATAAATGAAATCATTATTGGTAGTTCAACAAATACACCGTTCAAATCAATCCATGAACTCCAATTCATAACAACAATCAATATAAAACATATTATTTGTGCATATTTCCTAGAAAAAAAAAGATTTTTTCATATAATCCGATCTTGCTCAAATGTTAAGGCTCTAAATATAAATAAAACTAAAATCTAAATTTATCAACCTTTTTGGATGCTCATGAACATTACGATGGCTAACATTGGATTCATTAATCGAATCAACTTGAGTTTCAAATTTCATGTTAGGAACGACTAGTTAATAATAAAAGCTGCGAGAGCACAGATTTTATTGACTTACAAAGGAACGAAGAAAAAGTTTAAGGTACAGGTAAATATAATATCACCTCTTATTTGTCTTTGTAATCTTTTGTTTTTTGTTTTGTAAAAAATAAAACCATATTTTTAACCAGAAAATCAAAATTTAAGAATATTATTTTATCATAATTTCGTCGTTAACAAAACGATCTAATTGATATGATTTACTGTTTATGTAACACAGATAGAACTTGACTATAGAATTTTTCTCAGAACAAGATCAAAACTTTGTTAATTCAAATCTTATTTTTCTTAGCCATCGATTTCTATATAATATGATTGACGATTCTTTTAAGTTATAATACTATGTACTGCAGATGACTCAAAAGAAATTTTCGCTTATCTTTATTATCTTCAGTGTGTTTGCAGTAATAAAAGAGTAAGTTTAGTTTCATGTAAATGTTATATACAACTATCTTTTATGCTATTGTTAGTCATGATAATATAAAGTCTTGATACGATATATTTTTATACGATGTATATGACAATTCTATTGATGTTTGTTTTGAAACAAGAACCACAAGATATTTTCGAAAAATTTGTGACAGAAATACGATAGAGCGCTATGATTTTCATCTTTCGAAACAAAAGTTAAAGATGTATCAGATCACTCAGAAAATTGATTAAAACAAACATCAAACAACACAGCCGGAAAATATATACTATGCGATTCGATCAAACCCTAGTCTCAATTCTGCTCATTCCTTGAGAAATCCTGGAAGGATCTGCCAGGATCCTTAATCCCAAGGATCCTATCAAGTTTTATTCAAGATCCTATTTCAAATCCTGGCAATTCCTATTTCCAGGATTTTTCAGGGTGAAACATAATCCTGTTCACGATTTCGTCAGGTCCCTACTCCGATTTTTTTCTGTGTTGAAAACACAGGATCCTACCAGGATTTACTCAAGATTGTGACAGAGGATTCTGTCAAGATTTTATCAGGTTTTCATCAGGATCTAGCTCAAATCTTCGTGTCAGAATCCTGCCAGGACTGATATTCACATCAGACAGGGATCTTGGCAAGAAAATAGCAAGATTAGTCAGGATACGAAGTCGACTAATCCTGCAGAGTTTGAACGAGGATCTTACTCAGAACATTTCAAGAATATGCGTTTCCACATTTTGCAAGACAACATCAATTTTAATCAGGATCTTGATAAGAAAACATCAGGATTTAGCAAAGATCTTTATAGAACACTGTTTAATTTCTTCAGTCGTGTCTATTTTTTGGGACAGCCTCGAAGAATCTTTAAGAATCATAAATTTTATGAATTCTGTCAGGTTTGATTCAGGATTTCATCCAGAATTGATTCAAGTTCTTGCTCAGACCTTTTTTGGATCGATATTGCAGGATCCTATCAGGATTCACTTTCGATCCTATTCAAAAATTTTACAAAAATAATAAGAAGGATTTCATCAAGCTTTCGTTAGATTTGAATCAAGATCTATTCTGGATCCTGATACAAGGATCCTGTCAAGAGTTGTTATATCAGAGAAGGATCTGACCGGGAATAAAAGAAACTTAGTGAGAATCCTCAACTGAATAATCCTGCCAAGCTTCGATCAGGATCCTGCGAGGAACTGTTCAAGAACAGACATTTCGAATCGTTAAAAAAAGTACAATTGTGAGCAGGATCTTGATAGGAAAATAGGAGAATCTAATTAGGATCTTTCCAGGTTTGTGCTTAGAGATTATTCAAAATTTTATTTTCAGGATTCTGTCAAGAACCTAGCAAGAATGCATGAAACATATTCTTCACGTTAGTAGCTAGGTTTAGATCAGAATCCGATCTATAGATTTGTAAATCTATAGATCACAACAGAATTTCAATATCAATGTTGAGCACAATCTCCATAAAAATAAATAGAAGGATTTTTATAAGATTGTATTGGGTTTTTATCTGGAACACCATAAAAGTCTGATAGCTGAATAATCTACTAGCATTTCTATTCTGATCCTGATTTGGTACTTTTAATAAAGAAATGGAACAAATCTTAAAAATCTCAGAAAAATATTTTCGAAACCTCTTTAAACTTTATACAACAGTTGCTTTGAGATTCGAACTACAATTTTGAGTTCATTTTTATCTTATTAGAAAAAAAATTGAAAATCATTAAATTAGGGTGTTAATTTGAATTTAGTTATTGTAAAATTTTTTCGTTAAATATATAATTTTAATCAGTAGCAAACCTTTTGATAAAAACTGCTTGTAGTTTTCATCGAATTCGAAAACAAATTCGAAATATTTTTTTGAATAAATTGAAATAAAAAAAATTCGAAATATATTTTCTAAATCAAATTTAAATTCTCAAAAATGATAAAATTTCTTCAACTAAAATAAATATTAAACTAATATTCCTTTTTCAGAATTTTGTTGAAATAATTTCTATATACATAAAATTCAAAGAGAAGTTTACATTAAAGTCACAAATGAAGATATTGAACGTTGAAGTGATATAGAATGACATGGCACATTCAGCTAGGTAAGCTGATCGGTATGTAAACTGAAGGTCTAGAGATCAATACTCTATGTGTTCATATATTTTCTGTTCTCTTTAAATAATCCTGCAAAGATCCTGCCAAGAAACCTAATAACATTCTGGAAGAAATCTTGGTAAATCTTGACAAGATCTGGTCAGGAAATATGATAATATACTAGATGAAACATACTAAGATTCTGAAATATGTAAACAGAATTTTTTCATTGGGAATCATCAAAATCCTGGCAAGATCCTTCTGAGATCTTCTTTGAATCCTGCACAAACCTTGAAGATTTCTTTGTTACACGTTTCTTTCAGGATTTCAAGTTTCCTGGCCAGATTCCTGATTTTAAATCCAGTGGTAAACTTTTCAGGATCTTGCTTAAATCCTGTTCTTAATCCTGTCAGGATGAGGTGTGGGTTAAAAGAAGAACTACATCCATACCTACTCACACCCTACACCCATACCTGCACCCACACCCACACCCACACCGACCCAAAATGTTGAAAGAAAAGAAACAAAGGTAAAGAATTATTTTGTGAGCAATGGTCACCCGCTAGGAGATGATCTACAGGTAAATGTCGTCCGCGGACAAGCAACGTGAGGACAGGCAGCGATATACTAAGTCATTCATATTTGTATGACCGCCAGTTAATCGTGACGAATACAATATATTCATTTATTCGGCAGCTACAGCGAGTAATAGATACTCTTTGTTATTTGCTAGCAACATCGATCGATTGCTGCCCATATATATATATCGGCTGCCATGAACGAATCTACCTATTATTGTTTTCTCATTACTGATGTTGGTATGTAAAAATGAAGTGTTTTCTTTTTCTATAGGAGCTTCGATTTTTTTTCTGTCTATTCTCTCAAAGTAAGCCACAACAGTTTTCACGTTACTAATATGCATAGACCATTTAGTATTAATATGGACTGGTATTGACACAGGTATAACATTGATACTGATTATACAAGGAAAGCAACTGTTACTGACTAGTTATATTACTAGTTGGTGAAACATTTGTGATTCCATTGCTTCAAAGATTTTAGGTCAAGAAATCTCAATCACTCTGGCTTACTGAGAAAAACTAAATCATCCAATTGGGTTCTTCCATCGCAAAATCCTTTAATCAAACTTTATGAACAATTAATATTATCGCAAACTAGCTTTTCTCTGACGAAATATTGGACTTACAAACGTTCCATCACCTAGTAATATAAATAGTTGGTGACAGTTGTTTTCCTCGTATAATCAGTATCAATGTTATATTGGTATTGTGACATGCCCACTATTCTTGACAGATGCATACTGTAATAAATCAATATCCTATCATTTGGGTATGCATGATTTCCTTGCTCTTTCTTAAAGACAGTTTTATGCTTACATTCAAGTTTCATCATAATATTAGTATGCAAAAAAAGAATACATAGATCGAACCAAATAACAGACAGACAGCCAACGAAATAAGTTTATTCGTTTAAGTTCTACAAATTTTTCTAATAGAACCAGGAAATAGATGGTGTGCCGATAATTGACCGATTGCAGGCACCGGTTCCACTCGGGTATACACTCATTCTCTTATGTTTAAACTGTTCTCACGATTTGATCACTAATAACATTTATTGAATCAATTCTAGTATAATCGATTGAAATATTGTTAATCTAATATTACTCTCTTCTCAGCTGCACAAATGGGTAGTTATCCACTCGATAAAACAGGAGTTGTAAATGCTATCGAACTCGAGATCCACGATGAAAATTTACAAAAACCAAATATTTACAATAAATACTTACCATTTTATGAATCAATTAAACAACATGGCTTTAAATTATTTAGTGAAATTAAAGAAAATTTATCTCGTACTATTCAATTGGCTGAATTTGAACCAGGTTTCTCATTTTGGTCAGATAAATTAGAACGATTTATTTATCTTTATGAATATTATTTTACCAAAAGTGATCATCTAAAATTAATTCATTTCTATTTATCTATTCTTTCTATTAATGATCTCAATTATTCAAATGTAAAAATATGCTTTGACATGCTCAATCAACTTATGAGGTTCGTATTTTCTCTTTTTTTTAAATATACAATTCAGAAAAAAAATCTAATCGAATATTGTCATATTTTGCAGAAAAACTCGTCTAATCACACGAGATGATCTAACAATCGATTGGCGTCTTTTCTACAAATGGACTAAACTAATTTTTGATAATCATGATGAAACTCATGGATTAATTATTTTACCTAAGTTCATAATTTTTATACTTAATATTTACTATTACTGTTTCTTTTTATTTTTATTTTTCAAGAAATATTAGATATTCACTTATGATTTGTATACAAAGGTATTCTCCATATTTCTCCTCAACAGCTACTCAAGAAATTCTTGATCAATTTCGTCCACAATTATGTTTAACTGATTGGTTTGTTATCAATACATTTAAAATGTTCGATCTTTTCTTACCTGTTAAATTACCTCCAGCATTGCACGACCAAGGATTCAAGTTTGTTTATTTTCTTTCTTAATTTGTCACTATTTATATTACTTTAGATTATGGTTAAATGAATTTTTTGATATTTGGGAAAATGTCTATAATGGAACAATATGGGAATTAGTAAGTTTATAAATTAGAATCTTTAAAGAAAGACAAAGCATAAATAAAATATAACGTAGAAGATAATTGATAAAGAGACGATTTCAAAAGAAAAACAAATGCACTAGAATGTTTCTAGAAATTCGACGTAACATCTGATATCCTTCCATGTTGATAATTGCTACTGAGTCTGTTAAGCCGTAATTTGATAAGCAATTTAAGATATGGTTAAACACGTCTACAATCGATATCTTTCCTTCTTACCAGCCAGAAACGACATAGGATTGCTTGAGCAATAGATAATCGTTCAAGGACTTAACAAGTCTTTTCAAATATTTTGTTCAATATGCATAACATAAATTATCAAGTGAACGTTTATCGTGGGTCAATGCGGAATATAAATCATTTCAATAAAGATAGTGATATATAATAAAAGTGACGAAGGTTTGTGCGTTGTAAATTTATCAACAAAGGATAGAGTGCATAAAGTCATACGAGAAAAGGTAGTAGAAATATTGAAAATAGAATTTGAGTACAGCCTAATAACCTATGCTCAACCGAATTTTGTTGTTATCCAGTACCACAAATACTTGTACGATCATTTTCCATGATTCTATTTAGTATATGATTAGTATGTTTTCATCAGTTGCTTGGAATAATATTGGTTATATTGATTGGGAACCTTGGTTATCAAAAGTAATGAAGTTTTTATTTATTTATTTCTTGTAATTAAAATCTTTATTTATTAGATTTTTACTCGTATATTACGTGGTTTTTCTCTTCCAATTGGTAAAATGCAAATTTCTTCATATAATTTTCGTTATATGATGTCATATGTAGCAAAATGGATTGTTGCTATGTTAAATAATAAAAATTCATGTTTTGAATATTTAAAAGATTTATTTATTGCTATAAAAAGTTTTTATCATCCATCAAATACAGGAAATTTTCAAAATGAACTCGTTGAATTTATTGTAAAACTTGCTGAATATTTTGTTGATCGAGTTCATTTGTAAGTAAAATTAATTTTTTGTAGTTTAAAACTATATGTTAATAATTTTATAGAGAACATAAAGTTAATTCTTTATGGTTTATTTCATTACATGAATCATCTCGACTTACTGAACAGAATATAATTGATTTTGTTAATTGTATAAAAGAATATGCATTTATTTCAACTTTCAATAAAAATCATAGTAACAAAGCAGCTGAAGCTTGTCAATATCTTTCTATGCTTCGACCAGAATTAATTGTACCGACGATTGTTGAAAAGTTGATATTTTTTTTATATTACATTTTTATTTTATAAATATGGATTTGTTTATAGACTTTTCTCATCTATTGACAATATGACTGAACCACATCGTTTTACATCAATAATGATTTGTTTAACACGTATTGCTCGTCAAATAGTACGACAAACATCGACTTATTCTCAAGGACAAACATATGTAATACCATTACTTATGGCTGTATTACCTGGTATTGATTTAAATGATTTTGAAAAAACATCAGTAACATTAGATTTTTATAATGCTATATTCAAAATTATTATATGTGTTGATTGTTCATCGGCAATACAAACTCGAAATGATCTTACAGAAGTAAGAATTAATTTTAATTTTAATTTGAGAATAAGATTTTTTAATTGATATAATAGATTGAAAAAGAAGTATGTTTATCAACAGAAAAATTTCAAGATTTTATTATTAAATTTCTTAATCGAATATTTCAAATGATTGAAATATTATCAACTGATGTATCCGATGATATCATAGAAATCACCGAAGACAATATCGAAGATAATACTATTGAATTAAAACTTATATCAATAATTTCTAGCATTGTTCAACAATGTAGTAGTAAAATTTTTCAAGTACGTATTTATAAACAATACAACACATCAATTTACGATGGAAGTGTATCCTTTGATAGAGTATATTGAGATAAGAAAAAGTCTCATAGCGTTCAAATATATATACTTAGTCACGTCCCGAAAATATTAAAATCATGCGATCAATCTATGTCCGTCAATTGGAGTGATGATAAGTTGTTTCTCTTGTCAGTTTTCTGTTCGGAACAGGCCTGCATACATCAAGTTGCAGTAGATCTACCGTCGATTCCTTCTAGTGACTGTTCTGAATGATACGTATATCGGCACTGAACATATTCGATTCAAAACTTTTCAATGTATATTAAAGATCATTAAATTGATGTTTCTGAGCGAATGGGAGTTCTAAACTTCCAGGTTTAGCCAGAGGTAAGAAAATGTTAATCAACTACTATCGGCGCCACAATTCAAGGCACTCGGATGTTCTATGAATAACTTTTGATAGGAACAAGATAGAGACCTGCGATTTTCACTGTTCGAAAGAGGAATGTTCGGGTCATCAATCTATATACGACTCATTAAGACAAATATAGCTCAAATCACCCTTTTTTCGCTATAAAATTATCACACATTCTATTATCCCTCAATCTCTTATTCTAAGCGAATTTCCAAAAAAATGTGACAATTTTATAGCGAAAAAAGGCAGATTTGAGCTACATTTTCGTATAATTTCAGTTGAGATTATTGTGAAAATACGCGAAGAACAAAGTGTTGATCCAAAAACACCTATAACAAAGCATTTTTCGTCGTAATGAGTCCTATATAGATCGATGACTCTGACATTTCTCTTTCGAACAGTAAAAACCGCAAGTCTCTATCTTGTTCCTAGCAGAAGTTATTCGAAAAACATCTGAGTGCCGTGACTTCTGGCACCCATAATAGTTAGTTTTCTCCTGGTGTTTAATCTTCGGTAACTATCATAAGATAGTGAGAAAGAAATCCAATTTTATGAAGAGAAAATTAGAGAAATGGATATAACTCTCAAAGGAAGAGCCATGAGTTTGAACCCCCATTCGGAAACCTATTTCGATTGATTTTCGAGAAAATGATTTCTTTTTTGTTTTTGGAGTGTAGTCTATTGAAGGAAGTATGAATGAATCAAAACGACGCTATCCACCTCTGATATTTTCCTCCGAAAGAATAATTAATTTTGTTTTATATGTTGGAATATTTAGATAATTCGAGAGAAAATAACAGATTTTCTTTCATGTACATTTTTATCGTCAAAAGTAAGGAAATTAGTTACTGGACTTGTTCAAGCTATTGTCAAATGTAATCCAGATGAAACAATCAAATATCTCTTACCTAAAATATATGATTCCATTGAAAAAATGATGAATACACTAGAATCAAGTGTATTATTAACTGATCATAAAGGTGATATTGAACTTAATTGGTATTTAATTCTTTTCTCGGAATTGGTTCGTGCTCGTGGTGATACTCTACTTATTTATAAACAAATGATTATGTCTATTTTTCATCAATGTATATCTATTATTAATAAAAATGCATATGAAGCAATTGCTAATGCAGCTAATCATTTACTTAAATCACTTTCTCATATATATCCAATTGATTATCGACTTACACTTGAAAATATTGATGAATCATTCAATAATTTTTTACCTATTCGTGTAAGTTTCAATCTTTTATATATAAGATCAAACATTTATATCATTGTTTAGGCATGGGGACAACATGTTGATTTTGATAAACTTCAAGTTCAATATCATATTCCAAATATTGATGAAATTGATTTTGCTTGTGAATTTGTTGAAACATTTATCTATTCTGAATTAACATTATTGAATGAAAAAAGTCTAAAAATATCAAATGATGAACGATTAAGATCATTAACAATTATTTATTACACATCTATGGGATGTTTGAATATGATACCACGTATTGATAGTCAAAATGTGCAAGATCTGTGAGTAAACAATTTGAACAAATAAAAAAGAAAAAAAGAAATGTCATATTGTTTGTTGTTTTGAGTGTATCATCAGTTGTTTCATGTGATTCAAAATATCCAATTTATCATAATAAATCGAGTAAGAAGAATAATTTTTTTTAGAAAAATGATAATTTATTTTTTATATTCAGAATTCAGAGAAAATTTACGAATGCGTCTTGTTATCGATATTGGAAAGTTACTTGGTAGGTTTGTTTTTTCCTTATTCATCAACAAAAATACAAAATAAATTCTGCTTATTTTTCTAGATGTACTTGTAGACAATCATTCAGATGATGTTAAATCAATAAAAACAGCTCTTAAAGTAATAACTATAAACATGATTGATTGTTTTTCTTATTTAAATATAGAATTATAGATCTATTCATTATCATCTATCTATTATGGTATATCGAAAAATAATATTTATAAATTATCTACAGATATTCAATCCAATAAAAAATTATTTAAGAATAAACTTTCTGATAAACGACAAAATTCTCGTTTTTTATCAATTAAAAGAATAGTCTTACAGTTAAAAGTATTCAAATGTAGAAACAAAAAAAAAACTAATATATTAAGAATGACTTTAATTTTTAGAAATTTGAAACGAATAATTCTCGAACATTAACTGAAATTGATAAACAAATTGTATTAAAATTATTTAATTTGTCAATCAATCGATATAGTGAAGTAAGTTGAATTTTTCTCATAAATATTCAAAAACATTGATATCTCAGGTACGTCAAAAAGCACAATTTGAACTCTTTGCCATTCTTAATCATTATCATTTCTCATTCCAAATAATTGTCGATCGTATTGTTGAATTACTTAATAAACCGGACGAGACTGATCATCATCAAATTAAAGTTTGTCGTCTTTCTTCTATTCTCATTTCATTTTTCAAAAAATCTTTTCAAGGGTTGCCTCTATATTCTTCTTGGTAATAATTTATTTTTCTTACCTACAAAATATTCATGGACAATGATGGAAAAATTATGGCCATCAATTGCTCTTATGAATTATGCAAAAAAACCTAGCACACAAAAGTTAATCAATGATATTAATAAAAAAATTATTAGAACCTTCATTACAGATTCATTCATTCAAGATATTAATGAAATATCGAAACATGCAGCAGCTGCTCTATGGCATCCATTAAAACGAATTGAAACAAAAATTCAAAACGAACGTAATCAAGTCAACATTAAATCATATAACAATCTAATGGAAACACTTAATTTGCTACTTAAACGCGATACATTGTAAATTTTGTTTCTTTATACTTAAGAAGTTTTTATTTTATTTATGAATATATAGAACATGGAAACAACAAAAAGCCATAATGTCATTATTATGTCTTCTTCTTCAAAAGCATATACCTATTTCACATTCATGTATTCAAACATTTGTTGATTTTCTTATTGATGATAATATGGAATTACGAAAGGTTTGTAAGATTTTTCATACTCGGATCTAGTTAATTAAAATTTTGTGTAACCGAACCTGAATCGTACTCTTACTGCTTTCAATGAAATTTTCTAATCCGACTATGACGGTCGTTCTAAAGATGCGAGTTGCTTTTTTCCGATTATTTGTATCCAATGACTAGCACAATCTACATACTTCTTATGGAATCCTGACAGTGATGATATAATAATCAAGTTATAATTAATTTGGACTCTTAGCTATAGCTCATTGGCTTAAAAATTTTTGTAGTCGAACTCAACAGATATATATATATATATATATATATAATCTTTCTATTCGATTTATCTAGTGTGCAGAAAAAGGCATTGCAGCATTTTGTCGTTTACAAAAACCACCTCGAATTTATGTAGAAAAATCTCTTGAAGAAATTCTTCATAATATGGACAAATCATCATCATCATCATCAGCTATCGACAATAATAAAAGTCATTCGATCGATTGTAATAATAATTTACGGATAACAATCGATAGTTATAGACCACCAGAGACACAGATCGAATGGGAACAAACATGTTTTTTGGATAAGTCATTTTATGGTTATTATACATGGCCACAGATGATCAAATATTCAATAAATAAACGAACACGCTATACACAAAATACAATGCCAGAAGACGTAACTATTTTATATGATCGTTTTATTGATAAGAATTTTATTATACGATTTATACAATTAATAATCTTCGATGAAGATAATGGTGAAATAAATTTTGATAAAACAAGATTTGCAATATTTAAGGTAGATAGAAATAATAGAGAATTTATTCACATGAATAACTTATTATTTAGGGTCTTTTTCGCAATTTTGGTTTTGTATTTATTGACAATTTCATAGAGCAATTGTATATACTTATTCATGAACAAATAAAAGAGAAACAAAAAGGTAGTCATCGAGTAGCAGCTGAAATTGTTGCCGGTATGATTCGTGGTTCAAAATATTGGACATTAGAAATGGTAAATGAAAATTTTCTCATTTTCGAATGATTATACATTTAATTTAGCTTGATGAACTTTGGAAAAAACTAACACCATTTCTAACCGAAGTCTTCATTAATCTCAGTATTGAAACACGTTACTATTGGTTCTTATGCTTTAAATATAGCATGGTTAGTTATTGATTTAATGATTCTTTTCATTTTTTTATAAATAATTTTTTTTTGAAATATAATAGGAAAATACAGATCCCCGTCGAATGAATCGACCAATTGAATTTTTTCGTACATTGATTAATAATCAAACAATAGTTAATACACTTAATGAAACATCTCGATGGTCTTTAATTTCAAGTTTAAGAAGTTTTCAATGGCGTATACCATCAATTTGGTGTTCTATTAATGAACAAGCTAAAGTACTACTTGATCATCCATCGAAATCTGTACGAGATTATATTGTTGGGTGAGAGAAATTTTTTTCAATTTATTTTTTAATATTTCATTGAAATTGATTTGTTTTTTTTTTCTTATCAGTGTATTATCAATATCGTTTAGCTTTGATATAACATTATTTAATGGAAAATTGACATATCAACCTGATGTCAATCAATTCATTGATGATATATGTGAACGATTACGTGAAGCTATTGAAATTTATGATAAGAAACCATTAAGTAAGATATGATTTCTCTCTTTCAATCTTTGAAATAACTTCTTTAGTCAACATCTCGGATCAAGTCGTTGAAATGGAGTTTGAAACTTGTAAAGCATTAAATTTTATGGAAGCAGGTAAAGATTCAATGTTTGATCATAACATGTAATTATTTAATATAATTTAGTCCTTCAAATGCTTACATCATCCTTCTTCTGGTCTCGACAACCGATGAAAAATTCCCTTATTCGTATTTTTCCTTATGTATGTATATATCTATTGTCAATAATGATTATTTTTATATTTTCTTCTATTTAGCTTTGTGAAATGGAAAGTATTGGTGCTAATAATCATAACTTGAAAGATAGTTTACCAATTAGTCGAATGAAGATTGGAATGAGTTATTTACATGAACAGTTTTTAGAAGGACTTATTCAACAATTGGAACAAGTATGTGTATAAAACAGAGATCGAATTCAAATGAATTTTCAATATAGGGAAATATAAAGTACAAAAGTATACTTTTTGATTAATTGTTTTCTATGCTCAATTTAATCTCCGTGAAATGCAGCCTAATTTTTTTTGTCTGTTCATAACAATTACATTAATTACTTAATTTTCATCATTATTCGATATTGCAATGAATAGTTGTTTGTCCTTAGGTGGCATCAGATTAGTAATAAAATTCAATAAGAGCTAATAGTTAAATATTAATATTAAAAATATAGCACAATACTTTTAACATTGATTGATACTGATGTCGATGAATACTACATACAATATCCATTGATATCATTATTAGTAGAAAATATTAAATTATATTTTTAATTTTATACTTCACTGTGGCTTAGATGAAAGTTGGGACTAACTTGAACCAGTAGAAGTCGGTTTGATTCGATCTCTGATATAAAAGATAGATGAAATATAGAAAGTATTTTCACTAAATATAGGTGTGTATGAATCCGAAATGGCATGTTCGTCGAGCGGCTATTGATTTCATTCAAAATATGATCTTTTGTAATTTATTCAATGCTCGTCAATATGCTAAACAATTACATACACTTGTACTCAAATATTTATTCGATGAACAACTTGAAGTACGTATAACAGCATCAACAACTTTATCAGGTTTCTATCAATGTGGTTATATTCAAGTAACTGATGAAGATCTAGTAGGATAGCTTTTTATTTCTCTTGTTGAAAGAAATTTTAATTTATTTATTGTAATAGCAATACTTTCGTATAATGAGTAAGACTAATTATTTTACGGAGATCGATGGTAAGAAAGTAACATTGATGAAGAATATTGTCAAACGACATGGAGGTAATAGATGTAAATTAAATGATGATGATGATGTCGTAGTTTTAATTAATTTTGATTATCATTTTAGGTGTTTTGGGTCTATGTGCCATTGTTCTCTCAAGTCCATATGATATTTCAATTCATGTACCAGACGCATTAATGCTTCTCTGCGAACATTTATATGATCCTCATGTGATACAAGTACATATATTTTTTTATTTGTTGTTATATGAATAAATGAAATTTGTTTTTCTTTTTAGCAATCAACTCAAAAATGTTTGTCTGAATTTCGTCGTACTCATTATGATTCATGGCATGAACATCAAGAAAATTTCACCGAAGATCAACTTTTGATTTTAACCGATGTGTTCATTTCACATAGTTATTATGCTTAAAAGAACATTGTCGTGTGTCACATATCTTAATATTTTCTTTTTGTTATATACTTTCTCGAAATGTAATTTCAGAAATTGACTAAAAATTGAATTTTGATATTGTTGCTTAATAAAAATATAAACAAGAGAATATGATGATCAATTTTTCGATATTGACTAACAAGATATTTCATTAATACACATATTAGAGATGCAACAGTGGCACCAATCGATTTCTAAGTAACACTGGTCCTAGACACATTGTAATTGAAAAGTTAATGGGTGAATGTGAGTATGGATGGGTCTTAGTTTACAGAAAGTCATCACCCACACTCATTTCACAAGAATGTTTTCAATGGATTTTAATGGTTTTTCTTTCTGTTGTTTGTTTAGTTTATCTGATTTTGTTGTTGATATTTATTGACTTTCAGTTGATGTAGTTAAAGTTTTTTTCTATTTTACTAATTACATCTTGATATCATGTCAATTATGATGCTTGCTCTCTTTCTTCATTTTTTGTTTGTTCAATAACTCGTATTACTGGTGAGAGTTATATTTGTAATGAAGAAGCATTCAGTTTTTATTTTTGTCTTTTCAACCATTGTATTATCGAGAAATTGCATATTATGAGGAACCTTTAAGGTTTAAATAGCTGTTGATTAATCATTTCATTGTATTAACAAAACGGAATAATATTTATTTTGCTGATTAAATTCGTGGGTGTGGGTGTAGTTCTTCACTTGACACATGCATACAGCTAAAGACCACATCCTGTTGATTTCACCAACCAACGAGAAGTCAAGAGTTAAAGAAACAAATAAAATATTATGAATGATTAAAAAAATATCATTGGTTTTTAATTTTTTGGAGCCTTTTTTTTCACGTTTTTTTATCTACGGTACTGCACAACAAAAGTAAACAAGTACGTGAAAAAAGATGTCGATTGAATAAATTATTTTTCTCGAACGACTTAGAAAAAAAAGAGAAAGTAGAAACTCCATGTAATTTATTATTCGATTGATAGTGTAAAAAGAAAGAAAAAAATGTCAATAGCTGATGCAACGGTTACTCACTCACGTTTTTTCGCATTTTGATTCAGCTTTCTTTTTAAGATATAATTGTGAAGCTTCAATGTTTTGACTGAACACGTATGTAACTACGGTTTTCGAGACCAATAAGTTTCATTAGAGTTGCATGAATGACTTTTTTTTTATAAAAATCAAAAATGATGTGTTGGTAGTGCATTTACACAAAATACCCTCGTTTTACTAAGGACTCACATATATTTAGTTTTCTGCAAACGATGAGGTTATGAAGACCTATGTGCAAGAGCAAGTTTGTTTCTAAGAACCAAAACCATAAAATGAGAGTGGGTGTGTGTGTGTGGATTCGGGTGAAGAGAAGACCCACACCAATACTTACCCCCATTCACCCACACCAGTGCTGCAATCGATAGGATTTTTCCAGATTGGTATCGGTGTAGACCGGTCAGATTGTACCGTACCAGAATAGACCGGTCGGAGGATCAGTATGAGTCATAGCTCATTTTTCTCATCTTGTAATAGTCACATAAACCTCTCGATGCGTCATACATACCTTTGAATCACTACAGATATTACTTCAGGCTTTAGTCTCACTATTAGAGTGCTTTTGTGAAACATGATTATCAATGAGTGTTAAAGTATATGATTAGACATTTGCTCTCATCTTCTCGACTTGCTTCGAAAATCGCTATAAACATACTGATATTGTTTTAAACTAGTGACAGAGGTTCTGATGTCTGAAGCTGTTTAGCAGATTTTTCGACATGCTAGCTTTTGGTCTCGTAATGGTCTGTTATTTAGATGATGAGGTTTTCATCGTGAATTTCCAAAGTAGTTACAGTAGCTCCATCGTGTTTAATATTTTAATTCTATAGGAAAAAATTTTAGAGAACTAGAAATTCTATATTAACTTTTCATAATGATGAAATACTCATGAAACATTAAAATTCTGAATCGACTGTGGATGTACTCTAAGTCTCTCAATAGGTTTACTTTGCTACCTCTTTTGTCTTTGCGAAACATATTGTATAAATAATACAAAACGAAATTAATTATGTAACAAATTAAATATGAAAAACAATGATTTCATTTTGTTTCGATAAAATAACTTAATATTTGAAGTGATTTGATAAAGTATATTAGGCATTTTATGATGAACATTAACTCAATATAAATATTCGGATCCATGTTCCTTCATAGATATAGTCATTGACATCATACAACTAGTTTGGTATGGAAAAATAAACATCTCTATGATCAATATTTTGCAAAAAAATATGCAAAAAAATCGAAAAAAATCTAGACCG